GGGCTGTGATACGTTTTATGTCATCGTGAATGAATCATGCGTTTGAACCAGCGGATACGAGGTATATTGAACTGCGTTTCATGTGATTCATACCCATGATTCGGATGATTTGTGTCTGCTTAAAGCACATGATTCGAACAGGATGGGGTGGCTGTACGCTGCCAACACAAATAGAACCGTAATAAAACGTCCCGAATGGTAAATACGAGACGACAAAACAGAAAACAAAGACGAATAGTTACTATTGTGTGTTTTGATTGCATTCTATATGACTATACGTATATAATCTGGCCACGATCCAACCAACAATGTAGGTGAGTGTTTTTGAGGAGACCAGTTCCTGAATTTAAAAATTACGGATTTACACGTTTTTTGCACTTGCAATGAAAATCGTGGTTCAAATCGTTATTTACATTCCATTCATAGATAGCTCTATACATTCAATTTTTATCTCGGCGAAATGCTAAAATTCAAATTAATATTTATATTTGTTCTGAACAAGTTCACACGACTATGTGAAGTACTACTTAAATTCGTTGCCAAGTAAGCAGGTAGAGGCAACGTAGCGTACATGCCATTGTCTGTGGTGTGGTCCTGTGGTAACCCCAATTCAGGTGGTACACACGAGACTGGTAATTACAGTCAAGTCGTTATATAGTTTTATTAACATAGGATGTGCAGTTCGTTGTGTTCTTGACCTGCCATGGGATACGTTCTTTGTTCTCTTCACTCCATATTGCAGATTAAAGAAGACACGGAGTTAATGCTTCGCTTCCCAACCGGTTCTCAGTATCACCGGTACCTGTTTTCATTATGTCAGCTGAACAAGAGATGCTTTTATGACAAGTGAGCAATTTAACCTGTACTGGGACTAAACTCTACACAAGCCGAGGGAATTGTGTACACTGTTATAGAGACTCGTACAAGGACGCAAATCGGCGGCTGTTAAAAGTATCTCTCAAGTAGTTGGTACGTGGCTCGAGTGTTAACGTTATCTCACAAGACATGGAGTACTAATAGTACCTGCCATCAAGTTCAGTTCAGAGATCTAAGAGATACAGCTGGCATTTATACCGCTCGTTCATCTGCCAGTGTTCCCCGGTAGCGTTCCACTCTACACAAGAACACGTCAATCTTATCTACCAGAATGTTATTAACTTTCTTTGATGATGAACTCGTTATTATGGTTGTTATACAGTGACTTGTGTGGTTTGCGAACCGTTGTGCATAACGATCCCACTAAGAAGAATGGAACGCAGACCCTTTCAAAGGACTCCTTCATCCAATAATCTTCCATTTCTGAATGGCTATCGGTTCACCGACGAGAAACTCGGTATGGGTGCCTATTCGGTTGTCCAAAGGGCGTACTCGGATAAGCTAAGCGAATACGTTGCAGTGAAAGTTACTGACGAACTAAAAGAACCCGGGGAATTTGTTAAAAATTCTGTCCCGAAAGAAGTGACTATTTTACAAAGGCTTAACCACGAGCACATCGTTGACATTTACGATTACTTTCAGCAAGGTTATAAGTACTTTACGGTATTAGCGCTAGCTGAAGCAGGTAACTTAGATTCCTACATAAAACGTAAGATACGATTGCAGGAAAAAGAGGCTAACAATCTATTTCGTCAGATATTACGTGCTGTGTACCATTGCCATAACACTGCAAAAGTCGCCCACGGTGATATATCTTGTACAAACGTTCTTTTATATGATAACAATTACATTAAGTTATGCGACTTTGGGATGGCGATTGAACTTGACAAGTCAGATCGACTGCTACATACTAGCTATAGTGGTACTCACGGGTATGCAGCACCAGAAATTCTCGACGGACAGCCATACGATCCAAGGTTTGCCGATATCTGGGCGTTAGGAGTTTTACTTTTCTACATGGTAACGGGAAATTTTCCGTTTAACATTAGCAATGGGTTGGAGGGTCTGCGTTCTGATATGGATAATCCGCCTCGCTGGCCCCGGCCACTAAATAGAATATCTAAACCATGTAGAGACCTGATAAAATCAATGCTGACAGTAAATGTCGAACATAGAATTCATCTTTCTGGTATATGGGAAAGTGAATGGATGACGTCATATTAACGTATGGAACAATGACTGGATAATAATGGTATAAAGATAACTGTGGTTTTAGTTCAAAGTATCGTACCAGTATATAATTATTCATTAAACCGGTTTTGTTGTTATAATCTGACTCTACACGTTATATCAGAGAAATCGGGAAATGAGTGTATTTGAATATCTTTAGTTAGCACAGAACATATGTAAGTGTTAATTGCATTTCTTACTCGGTGTCCCACCTCCTATTTATTTAAGATGACATAGTCACATGAGTAAATGCATGTAAATAATGACCTACTGAACTATTACTGCAAAATGTATGAAATTATAAGCAGATTTGTTACAAAATTAAATTGGATTTCATTGCGAGAACTGATTATCGGC